CCCCATACGCGCACACAATTTTCAGTGAACCAACCAGTGGCGGCTTGTGCCCCAACAGACTGGAGGTTGACGAATGACGGAAATGTAATTTAAAAAAGTCAAAATACGAATATATGAATGGCTGTAAATCAGAACGGTAAAAGTGACAAATTCTACGAAATCGGTTTATTGAAGTCAATGTCACTGTAAAATGGTGGTGCTTTGTCGCATCATTAAAACCACGGTATTTCACTTGTTCACTAAAACCACGAAAATACATTTCCACTAAAGTGTAGCGTAAAATTAACACATTTTCTCAGAACTTATAAAATGTCATTTATACCGTTCTGGTTTTCACCAATTCATATACAGTGGCTCACTTTAATATTCGGACACCCATATATACTCCAGAAATGGTAAATTCGGCGATATTTGGACGGTTGTAAGAAAAAAATATAAGCAAGAAAGAGAAACAATTGTTCCTTTATTAACGTATAACAGTATAAACTAAACAGAAATGCACAATGTAGTTGACGCATTCGATAAAAAAGAAAAAAGAAAATTGTCTGGATTCAATAGCCACAATAATATTCGAACCCGTGAAAAGAAATATAAAGAAATAAAGTAATTAATTAATCGATTAATTAATAAAGTAATTAATTAATACATAAATTAATTAATTAAATAAAAATCTTCATAGTAAGATCTTTCATTAAGATCATGTGTATTTTTTGAAAATTTTGGTAGTTTTTGAGCAATATTGCATTAAATATTTGCAATTTAAAAAATTACGAAAACACGATTTTCTCAAAAACGTCTCCAAATTTTTCTTTAAGCTTTTAGTAGCGATAGTAATAAATTCACAAAAGATGACATAAACGCCATATACATCGGTATTATTTACATTAGCGGCAGTTTCTTTACCGTAATATATTTATGAATACTAGTACATGTGCTTTAAATACGAGGGTTGCCTTTTATATTTCAGGATTAGAGAACAAAAAGAAATATTAATCATCGAAAATCACCTTTATTGTTTTTCAAAATTTCCCCATGAAGATCTATACACTTTTGCGTGCGTTTGAACCAATTGTCGAAGCACTTTTGCCACTCTGATTGAAGTATCTCCAAAAATGCATTCTGAATGCAGCAACCGCTTCTTCAGGTGTCGAAAAACGTTGACCTCTCAGTTTGTTTTTTACGTACGGGAATAAAAAGAAGTCATTCGTGCCAAATCAGGACTATACGGCGATTACTCATCAAATCGATTTTTGGGTGCTCAAAATGCAGTTGTTTGAGCCGATGTGTTGGAAGCTCGCATTGTCGTGGTGAAGAGTGATCCGTCTTCGGCGGTTGGTTTTCCAGATTTCTTGGAAGACAGCTGGCAAATAAATCATTGTGTACCACTCAGAATTGACTGTTCTGCGTTTTTCTAGTGGTACTGTTGCGACATGTCCAGTTTTTCCGAAAAAAAAAGGCGACCATCTGTTTGGAAGTGCATCGTGTACGAACAACTTTTGTTGTATTTTGCTCATCTTCAAACACCCATACAGTCGACTGCTGTTTACTTTCGGGCTCATACGAGTAAATCCACGATTCATTACCTGTCACGATTTCGTAGACGTGTTTCGAAGCACCGCGATCGTATTTTTTGAGCATTTCTTTCGACCAATTGACACGAGCCTTTTTTTTTTTTTTGAGCGATTGACAAAATGGGTGGGATCCAACACGGACAAATTTTTTTGACAGTCAAATGTTCATGCAATATTGAATGTATGCTGGTTCCACTAATGCCTAAGGTTGTCTCAATCTCACGATAGGTCACATGACGATCTTACAATATCAGTTCACGCACAGCATCAATGGTCAGCATCAAGATGATTTTGGACCACCTTCGCGAAATTCGTCTTGGAGTGAACTACGACCACGATTGAATTCACCATACCATCGATAATACTGGTCCTTGATGGAGCTTCATCGCCAAAATTTGAATTAAGTTCATCCATGCACTGTTGCTGAGTCAATCCACGTCGAAAGTTGTAAAAACTAATCGCACGAAAATGGTCACGATTAATTTCCATTTTTGGACCAAGATGAATCTTTTAAGTTACTGTAAACAACACAAATAACGCTCGTATGTCAAAACGTTCTGAGTACGTATAACCTCAAAACATCCAACTTTACGACAGAGCTGTCAGTTGCCAGATTGCAACACCAGGGTTGTCAAATCCCGAAACATACAAGGCAAGCTTCGTAATGACATAAAGTTTCCCGAAAATTCAAGTTTTCCGTGAAAATGAGCAGAAAACGCTCAAACACCATTTGCTCAAAAACGGCTCCAACTTTTTCCTTCAAACTTTTCCAACATAGTGCGAATTGCACTATTAAAAATGACATTTTTTGAAAGACTTTTCACGCCTTTAATGTGCACATTTCCAGGGATTGTAAACACAATTGTATTTGTGACTGGAAGTACTCGAAATGATGTCAAATGACGTTTTTCGAAAACCCAATAGAGAGGTTCAAATTTTCGAATTTACAGTAGCGTTTAAATTCCATTTTCTTAAAAACTGCTCCAAATTTTTCAAAGAAAATTGCCGTTTAGGACGAGGTTTTAATTTTCTTTAATATTATTACAATAATATTTCCGTTCTACTATTGAGAAGTCGAAAAATTAACAATTTTTTTAAAAAAACATGAACTTGATGGCAGGTGGCAAAGAGTATGTGGCAAGTCCGATAGGAAGTAGAGACCAATGGAAATAGAAAACTAATAGGGGAAAGTCTGTACCATTCTGTAGCACCACTAATTTTCCACTCGTTCTAACGCCGGTCACTTCCTATTCTCGCGTTTTTACTTTTCCGTATACGTTCATATACTCGGAGTAATGTGCGTATTATAGGGAATGTTACGTAATGCTGCGAAAATCGATTTCGAGATTTTAACGTAAATACACGTGTTGGAGTCCCTAAATGCAGGAAAAAATGTTTTTTCAGCACGTCCGTCCGTCTGGTGTCTGTGTCCGTCTGGTCTCTTTTTTTCCAAATTGAGGAAATCTATCTGGCTCGACTCGAAATTTTGAGATTTTGAAAAAACATTTTTTTAAATTTGGGTACTTTATATGAAGCCCCGGACAAATTCAAAATTTTCTCAAAAACTTTCATTAAGGTCATGTACTTTTTTTTTTGAAAATTTTAGTCGTATTCAAGCAATATTCTGTGCACGATGTTTAATTTTAAAAAAATACCAAAGCAAGATTTTCTCAAAAACGGCTCTATTTTTTTCTTGAAACTTTTGGTAGGGATTGTGGTAAATGCAGGCTATGCGCATTAATACATAAACGCCATATTGCTCTATTCCTTGTGTTTTTTTTCACTTGTCTCTCATGTCGTTAATATTTATACTAGCGGCAATTTGTTCGCATTATTGTATTCATGAGTACATATGTTGTAAAAAATGTCAGTTAAGGTTTCTCGAAAACTCTTAACTGACATTTAAAAAATGTTCTTTGGGCGGCGATAGATGACAGTTGTCATGAGCATGTGGCTAGCCGAGACCAAAGGAAATAGAAAACTAATAAGGGATAGTCTGTGTAATTCTGTAGCACTACAAGTTTAACATTTGTTATAATACTTCCTTTCCTGAGTCTTATACTAAAACATTAAAATATTATGTAATTAAGTTGTATTAAAAGACAGATAATTTAAAGTTATTCGATGTTGTTACAATAAATGAAAACGTTTTTTCAACAATTTTGGATTGAATGAGTAAGATTACGTAGAAAATATTCAAAACTGATCTGTAGAATTTTGTAGGATACAATTAAATTGACGCAATAGATTCTCGCCCCAGGGCCATCCAAAAAGGCGGCGTGTGCACGGCCTGTTATCAGAAATTTTCGCGCCTGGGCGTTCTTCCATCACTGAAAATTTGTCCCCAATCTTATTGTTAGGGGCAGTCAGCACCGACACTTATTCCGACTTCAATTATCTTAGTTTTAATACACAACACTAATAAAATGAAAACAATGTTTTTACTGAACTATTATTTATTTTCACTGTTTGTGTTAATAAGGGAGGGTGTTGTCGCAAGGGATACGAAATTATTTGGCAGAGATCAATCGTACGTTAGTGGTGCGTTACAGGGGGTAGAGGGAATATTCAAAATAGCCCGGCCTTTAAGATTACAGGAGCATTAATTATGGTTGCACTATTAATTTAGAGCTAATACACGCACATGTTTTTTTTAAACTCCTGAATCCCTACCCTCAATCTTTTTTCAAATATTTTTTGAATTATGTAAAAAAAGCATAATAGCAACCCACACGCGTCAGAAATCAGATTACCAAAAAGATTTGCTCTCAAATAGCTAGTTGGTACAGACACTATTTGCACTGAGAAACGATATAGTAGTACTAGTACGAAATAACCAAAGTATCTACCCCTCTCACATCTAGAGAAATGAAAGAAAACGAGATAAATCTAAATTAATATACCAATAGTCATGGAAAACACACCATGCTTTCTTCTAACATACACTCATGCTTCTAGCATAAAAAAAGCATTAGATATATTTTTATTTAAATGATGATTGGGATTTGAGTGAATGAAACAAAAGAATGGAATCATATTGAAGTGCAAGGAAGTTTTATAAGCGTATTCTATAGACCCATTAATTACAACGCACTCGCACATGGGTAACGTTTTTTCCGTGTTGGAAAATTACTTTTACTTTATATAAAATCCAGAGGGCTTTAACACAACTTAAAATAGATATAAAAGTTGACTTAATGAAAAAAATTGAAAAATAAATTATGTGCGACTAAATATTATGTTGCAATCTGGTTTTATTGTATATTGTGATTCGTACATTCAAATATTACGAATTCTCAAGTTTCTAATTTAGAGTATTATTGAAACGTTTTTGTAAGAATCGTTAATGTTCACCATCTTAATATTTGAAAATAATTGAATGCCTTAATTACAAATCATATAAATGTGATAAAGATTTATCACCCGTCTACGGAAACTGCTGGGAAGGGGGGAGCGTTCAGTAACGGGAACTGCTGGTCACGAGTTGTGTGTGCTGTGTGTATTCTGCGCCGATTTCTTTCCTGGCTTTGTTTCAGCTGTGAGTTGTGAAGTTGTTAGTGCTAAGACACGCGATGAAAATGATTCCAAAAATTATTGTCATCGCACTGTGTTGTGCTTTTACATTGGCACTAGGTACGTACAATTTCAATGTACACATAACTAATAATCGTTAGCTGCCATTATTGTGCTTTCATCTGGAGTGTCGAAACTAGAACAATGTATGACAGCCGTTCCTCGGGAAAAATATTCCATTACGTTTTCATCTTTCGATTTTTGTTGGCATCAGTACTGAGTAGCTGCGATAAATATTATCTCGAATTCATTTTATTTGGCAGCATTTTCTTCATACAATTTCATATTAGAATAATAGCTAGAGATAAGACTGGAACTCGGAGAAACATTTTTTAAAATTTTCTTACTTAGTGTAGCAACACTTAGTTTTTTTTAAAAAAAAAAATGTGGAATTTTCTTAATAGCTGTTAATGGTTTCAGATGCAAATGGTACTTTCCCAATTCAACCCTCTCCAACCCTGAGCCCTATTCAACCAACAACATCAGGCACAACAACTAAAACTACAACTTCTTCTACTCCTCCTCCTACAACTACACATAAAACTACTACCACTTCAACTGCACCAACAACCCCTTCAACCACAGCACCATCAACTGAACATCCCACTTCTACAACTCCAGAGCCTACAACTACTGTTGTACCACCTACAAAAGGACATTTTGTTGTCAAGGATGGAAATAAAACCTGCATTATAGCTGATTTGGCTATTCAAGTAAAGTTTGTTAAGGACAATGCGGTAAGCTGTATTATGTTAATTATATTTCTATAATGTTATAGGAATAGTACTTTCCTCCTATATACTGATATAAAATTATTGTAAATTACAAATAGATGCCTATTTGGCTCATATAAATTGATAGTATGCTCCTTGCAAGTTTATTTGGCTATTTGAAAAAGTTTGTTCTTGTAAAGAGTCTGAATATAACTTATCAGATATTAAGAGTGCATTTTGTCATTGTTAATAAAATTGCAGACACTTACCCACGTTACGTAATCCAGGAGCAATTAGTTCCTCAGGCACTTATAAAAGAAGTCATTGGAAACTTTAAAGCAATTTCGGCCCTCATGTTCACTATAAACATCCTTGAGTCTATCCAACGCATAATTAACAATTCACTTTTATAAGACATCACTTTTCAAGAAAGCCTCCAGAATTCTAACTGCCTAGTTAATACCAGAACGGTGTGAATTGCCGGTTTAAACGACTTCTTTAGGTTGTACTGTGTACTACATTTCAGACACAATTTTTATTTCAAGTTGTGGTTTTATAAATATAGAACATTTTTAACGTTTCAGATAAAATTGTGATGAAAAATTTGATTTTTAGCAGTGAGTTTTTCTGGGAAATGAATCAAATTGGGACACAAAGAATGTATTGCTTTGTCATGTCGTAGTTAATATAGTTGTTGACAATTTAAAGTTAGCAAGTTAGCAGTTGTTATAAATCAAGTTTGTTGTTGGTTAAGCTTATTTCTTGCCTGACAATTTTGTTTTTCCTTAGACCTGGGAATTTGATGTGCCAGCTAACGCATCTAGTAATGGAGGTATTTGTAATAATGAAACTCAAGAACAAGATCTTGCCCTGTCTTGGGATGATGAACAAGGGAAGCTCTTTACACTGAACTTCCAGTTTAGCAAGAATGATACTTCTAAAAAGTTTGTGGTGTCTCAAATAACTCTGGGAGTTCCTCTACAGAGTGAGTATTTGTCTTCTGCCCAATTCAAGAAGCTTCTAATTGATTTGCTAAGTCACTATGAACACAATATAATGCTTTTCGATTAGTAAAGACCTTTTTTAAAATTGAGGATGGAAATGATAAAAATTAATTCTAAGGAGTATTGGGGTAAAATTGACAAGAATTTGGCAAAGTTGTAGATTGGAATTAACACGTTTGAGTTGTAGCATCTGCCCAAATTTTTTTTCTCCATTGGTTGTAAGGTGTTGGGCTATATTTGAAGGGTCACAACTTCTAGAACAATAAGCGTAGAAGCAAGTATTTTATTTTAAAGATATAATTTTGTACTTTTATATGACGTTCCAACTTTTGCGTTTTCAATAATAATTAAAATAATTTTTTAATACAAATGACACCAAAAAATTGAGTACCCAAAAAGTTTAAAATGTTGAGTATTTTGATTAAATTCAGTTAATGTTAGACCATTAAACATAACATTACATTAGTGTTTATTGAAATAATGAAGAAAAAACATTACTTTTTATTTCAAATAATTGGCTTTGGTGTGCTAATTTTGAACAGCAGTTTCTTAGGTGTCACTGCAGAGCGAATACTCATAAGTGTATTCCAAAGTTATGTTACGAATTAAATGGCTGAAAACTAACTTTAGCTGAGTGTTTAAGCTCTTTATTGAAGTAGAAACCTCCATGAATAGTCTGCGGTTGGAAAATGGCATATATAAGTACTATACCGGCAAGTTTTCTTGATACTCAACAGCGGGAAGTGTGGGGAGAGGAGGACTGTGGACATGAACTTAACTCACCAATGCGTGCCACGAGAAATGCAATGATTTTGGAAGTACGAGGTGGTTGTTGCCAGCAATGTAAATTGGTACATGCCATTCAGAGTCAAACCTAAGTATCTCAACGTGCCATGTTATTCAGCACTGGAAGAGGGCACTGGAGCTTGTGTATCAAGAAAACTTGTGCGAGTAATAAATATGAAGTATGAAATGCATGCCCATGGACTCTTATGGGGGGGTTGTAATTTAAGGGAACCTATCGGCACACATGTAGATTCTATGGGCAGCGACCTGAATGTGTTAAACAAACTTCAACATTGAGGTACTTGTCCAATTTGAAAATACTCATTTCAAAGGAAAAGGTTGATATCAAGTGATTGCAGTATCACATGCTGTCAAATTCATGATACAGTGGTTTCAAGATGCTTATTTGGCTTGTGTAAAAATAAAATCCTTTTGCCTTGAATGTTCCTTTTGATACTCTGTTGATGTTCACTTTTGTGTGCGAGAGGCTTCCTGTTTCATCGTTGTTGTTCCTCGTCTATCTGGCTGATGTCGCAGCCCCTTGAACTTGAAATCAATATTTTAATTTTGGGGATTACTGTATATGAAATTCATGGGGCATTTTCAAAATTTTTCAGAAAGACTCCAAATTCAATGATGTCAGTTGGTGTAAAGGACACTTAACAGAATGGGTAGATCGTACTTTTATTAAAATCCCTGATTTTTTGAAAATTACAGAAGTTCAATATTTTTGGCGTTTTCCTTCATTTAAAATAATGAAGATACAGATTTTTTCCTTTAAGACAGATTTTGAAATAAGGTCATGTACAAGTTTTCGAAACTTGTAGTTTTCATGAATTTACATTCATAAAAATTGCAATTTTAATATTTTTAAACTAAAATGACACCAAATGTTTTTCTCATATGTATTAAATGACAGTAAAAAATGTGGTCTTACATCTGGTGCACTCTGCATTTTCAAAGGAGTTATTGTAACATTTAAAAATTACAAAATTGAAATTTTTGCTTTAAACAGTCTTTTCTAAAAGTTCAGCTCTCTAAAGTTGTGTACATTTGTTTGCAAAAAGACGTTTTTCATATTTAGTGCTTGAAATTCATGCCATTAATAAAAAAATAATTTTCTTAAAAATCTTTTCAAAATGGTTTTTCGAATTTTTTTCCACAAATAGAAGTAGGAATGCTTAAAATAATATCACCAGTATCGTTTGCATTGAAATTTCCATAATTTCCTAAATTGCATAAACTTAATATTTGAAAACTATATAATTAAGGATAGAGATTTTTGCCTCAACGTTGTTCCAAAAAAATCAGCTCATTAACAATTTTTGATTTTACTGATATCAATACGTCGTTCTCATTTTACTGCTGTGTCCTATGGCTGTATGTCATATGACATTCTACATTTATAGTGTTTAATAGGCAAAAAGTCTTTCGGATGTTCATAGGCACTTAGAATATTCTTTTTAATATCATTAAGGTCGTCACATGATAAACGCCAATGTGCAATTCTATTTTGTGTTAGTATTTCCAAGAAGGAATTTGGTATTCATACTTGCAGGTACTGTCAAATACGTCCCGAATGTCTTTTTCTGTAAGAAATGTTTGTGCTGTTAGCGACATAGGTCTTTAGAGGACGTAGATGTAACATTCACAGCAACTCTCAACATTAGACGTTCGAGAGATTTTGAATAATGGTTTGGAACTGGATTCTTTTGATGAGGACAAATTTATTCCTGAACTGTTGCCTATTTTAAGCAATGAAAATTATATCAAGGAGAGTAATAATGATGTGAATTATTTTGATTTTTTTTCAAATTAGTTTTTATTTCCTTTAGATTGCTGTGAAATTGATAAACAAGCTGCATTACCAGTGTTTGAGAAAACCAGTGAAATGAAAGTTCCAGTAAATGAATGAACTAGACTATTTTCAATCACTCTTTAACTACAATTTTTTTTTTAAGGCGGAAATAAATAGATTAGCAAATGAAACTATATCTGACCTTCAACAAAATATAATTATAGTGCACCAGTATTGTTAAAACAGTGTTTCCCCGTATGTTTTGTAACATTTTTACTTTATGCAAATAATAATAATAATAATAATAATTCCATTTTCACTACCATATTGTAATCAAATAAACTTAAAATGCATACAGACATAAAGAGAAAAGACAATACTGCAAAAAACTTACAAATAAAAAAAAAAGCAAATAAATAGGGTCAAGATGTGGAGAAAAATGTAATGATGTACAACAACAGAAAAGGCTTCAATTGATTCTACACGCTTCAAAATTTTGAACATAGCTGTAGTAGTTATAAAACATAGCTGTAGTAAAAAAAATTTTCTCTTCCTACAGACAAGACTCTCAATTTGACAGAAGAGGAGCCTATGTTTTCAACGTCTGTTTCAAAATCATATCGATGTGAGAAGGAACAAGAAATTAAACTTACTGAAGAAGGGACAAACACCACATATGCAGTTCTGAAGGTCAGCAAACTTCAATTGGAGGCGTTCCATACCTCAGAAGATGAAAAATTCTCAGCAGGTGAGCTAATAGAGGTTTGAATCATGTGGAGGTAATTGGTGTGTTGTTGTAAGTTTTTCTTGGTTGAGCTTTGCCATGCTGTTGCCAGCATGGTGCCAGGTGTGTGTGTTGGGTTGTTGTTGTTGTTGTTGTTGTTGTTGTTGTTGTTTTTTTCCTCCCTTCTCAACATATGTCCTAGAGTAATGGCACTTATCAGTAGGGAGTGGAATTTGATGTCCTTAAACATCGCCAAAAATGATCAAATAAAGACTTTTAAAATGCATTAAATTGATCTAAAAACAAAGAAAACTGCCAAAAGAAAAAAAAAAATTGATCAAAACCATTTCAGATGAACAACTTGAGCTGTTGGGTATGCTACTGATGTAATTCAGGCTTCTTCCTATTGTTTAAGTGAACTCGGCTTGCAAACTTTCAATTTAGAGTAGTACTCAAAACAGCTGACATTACAATATAGGAGCAAAGAAATCAAATAGGCTACTCAGGAATTCTGTGGTGAATATTTTTTGCACCTCGTAAATATTGATTGAAGCAAGTACCATTAAAATGATATTAAAATCAATGAAATCAGTGAAAAATGCATGAAAAATGACTTATTTTTAAAACCTAAAAAATGCAAACAAAGGACATGAAAATGGGTAATTTAGTTTTGTCATAACATAACATGAATTTCTTTACTAAACAGCATTGTTCTTAAGTGAAAAGGGGGAAAAATTGACATTTCATTAAAATCAACCCCTGCTGATAAGTGTGTCAGTTGCAGCCCATATTCCTTTCTTTGATCACACAGCTGCCACAATGAAATTGTATGTCACAGTGCCAAAGAACTTGAAACTGACTTGCATATACATTCCCTTAAGTGTCTCCTCCTCAGAGCCACTCTGCCAGTTGTATTACATTCACAGGAATTCAGTTTTATGAAAGGGTGTTTTTTTGTTTTTGTTTGTGTGTTTGTGCGTGCAAGATGTGAAAATAACGTTCAGTTTCTGCATTGTACAAGTTTCATTTTAGGCTTTATAAAAGATCTTCAGACTGTAGATAAAAGGAGGTGGTTGTCCTGGGTAAGGGTTGGACTGATTTTGATGTATTTCAAAAGGCACAAGCTAAAAGTAACTAATGCCATTCAACACTAAAATGTTTTAACTTCTACTTTGCACTTTATTACTTACTGAGAATAAAATCAAAATTTTTCATATTGAAGAAAATCTTAACTGTTCAATTTACAGAACTCCTATTTCTCTTCTGGTGGTTTGCTTTGATGTTACAAGAAAAAAATGGTTTTCTAGGTTATGTTACTTCAGGGCGTAATTTACAATTTCCAGAAAGTGGAAAGTTTTTTAAGTAACATTTATTGCCAAAGTGACATAGCTCTGCTGACTTCGTACTTCTTTTTTCAGCTGAAGACTGTGCTGGTTCCTCTTCACCAGATATTGTGCCCATTGCTGTGGGCTGCGCTCTGGTGGGACTCATAGCAATTGTGCTTATTGCATACCTGGTGGGTCGTCGGCGCTCACAGGCCAGAGGCTACCTCAGCATGTGAACACAGATGCCTAGTTGCCCAGCGGGAAGCGCTCCTGCTGCTGCTGCCGCCACCGCCGCTGCTTCTACTGTTGTCGCTTGTGGCTGAGGGAAGCGCTGCCGCTTGGGAACTATCTGACGAGACTTCCACAATGTCTTTTGTACTGCTTCTTGATGCTAAAGACTGCAATCTTTTGGCATTTTGTATTGACTTTGTGCCTACTGAAGGGAATTCATTGGAACAGTTATTTAATATTGCAAGTTTGCTTCATTTTCTTTGTTGTTAATCTTCTGGTGACTGTCAATTATTTTGGTACAGGTAGTTATGCCTTAGTGTTTAAATTTGTAATGTCATGGAATTAAGTTTTGCAATATTTGATTTGTGCGTTAGTTTCATTCTTTAGTTGTTGTTTATTGTAGCTATTATCAAAATATTTTAAATTGCTGAAGGTTTCTAGTTAAAACAATTGTATTTGAGTTAATTTAGTGTACATGAAAAGGAAAACAGAAGTCATTCTTGTCATGACATGTTAAGTCATGTTAACATAGATTTGTGGTGTTGAAATTCGATATTGGGAAGGATTAATAATTTGAGTAATATCAATTTTCAAAATTGCTCATCTAAGCAGTACTAAAAATCTTGTGGCTTTGAATTGCTACAATGGCCTCCTTACCAGCGAGGTATAAACTACCTTTATTTTAAAGAATTGCAGTGATATCTTTTTTTTTATAGACTATGACAGCAAGTTTGTCTGATGCACTTACTTTCTTTCCTCTTTAGCGAACCTCTGAATAATTCAGTCTTAAAAAAATAGCTTTAAAACACACTTGTATGTGAGAGAAAATAGTTGTAAGGAAAATATTATTTCTTCAACTGGAATTTGCATGTATAAAAATTTAATTTACTCAAGCAGAACAAAGTGAAGCCTAGGTAATGAAAGAATAACTTATTTTGTTATTTTTGTATTTAGTCAAGTAGTTGGGACCAGAATTTGGAATTCGTGAATCGTGGTGCAAATTCATCTTCATTAATTAAAATACAAAACTGAAGAATAATTAGTAACGGTTTGTTGGGCACTGTAGTATTTGACTTGCTGTTGCTAGTATGTGACAAGGATATTAGTTATTTTTAAGATGTACAATTTGAGAATGCCTTTTTGTCTACTAGTCTGTATTGAATAGTATATTTAGGTAAATGGTGTTAATTTGAATGCTGTAGACTTTTTTTCTTTGCTGAAAAAAGATATTACTGCACTGTTGCCTCCTTTTGCACATAGTGCAACTCCAGTCTGATATTGTTTGTGCGGTAGTGAAAGTGTGTGTTGGCGGCAGCTGATATTGAAGAGGTATGCGAACAGCAAACTAATTTATCTGTGATTTTGTGAAGGCTGTTTCTAAATTGGAAGTCGAGATGTTACTTTTTATTCTTCGAAGTGGTTATTGTTCAGCCTTCTATTTACATTTGAGTTATGTACACCATTCCAGGAGTTGATGCCCACTTTTGAGGAAAGTGTTTATTTTTAATTTGTTATTGATCTGAATTATTAGTAAAATTTTAAATTTCTGTGTAAATGGTCTTTTATTGCTTAGAGTTCCATCCATCTGCCTTTACTGCTTAGAGTTCACATGTGTTCTAATTGTGTGCATGTCCCATGCTTGCTTACATCTAGATTCATTTTGGCTCGAAAAATGTGTACTCTCGAAAACTTCCCCCATCAATTTTTGCCTGAAGATTGTTCATATATTAGCTGATAGTTGATTCTTTTTCTTTATTGCAAGTTGAAATGCAGAAATTAAAGTAAAATAAATTATCAGTGCAGTTCCCACATTTTGTTATTTAACTGATGCTTTGAGAATTATATATGAAATAGCATAGATGATTTTGAATAATCTGTTACTTTTTACTAGTCTGAGAAATGAACATTGAACCTGTTTTACATGAATTGATAGAGCAATAGCATTGGCTGTGTGCAGTGGCCAGTGACGAGAGGTGCAAATAGGAGGGAGTTCCATTGTATATAAAGCAACTGAAAATTCCTCTTGTCAAACTATTGGTGCAATGTTATGGTTTCTTTGGAAAGATGTAAAGATTCTTGTCATTGATATTTGTACAGTGTAAGGTTTCTACAGAGAAAAATAAATTTTATGTGAGGAAGTGAAATGAGAGTGAATACTTTAAATATTTGTACATTTGATTTCCACAGAAATTGATTTCTTGCCAGGAAAATTCATTACGAAACTTGTTGACTTGTCATCTGATTTTAATAGCAAAGCAACTTTATATTAACCAGGTTGACTGGTTCAAACCTTAAAAAAAAAGGTTTGTGTGAAGTATTGTTTTTAAATTTAAATGTCCCCCAATTACAATACCATTGAAACTTTGATTTTATGATTTCCTGAAATTAACGTCGTATCAGAGTAGTACCGGCAAAACATCCATATAAGTAAATGTATAATTTTCTGCAATTTTGTTTTCGTATACTTTGCAAAGTCCTATTGCATAGTAAACTCCGATTTTGAGAGTTTTGCATGGCAGGACACTTAATTTAGATGGACATTTTGAAAGAAGACGCCAGTGCCTGTGTCAGTTTTGGGAAGTGAGGTGGGAATACCTATAAACGTGTGTTTTGCTATTTGAAAATTAGTATTTTTAGAAGTTGATGTTCATGTTGGGAAGAAAGTTGACCTCGTTGCCAAAATGAGTTTGAGTGAATTGAATTTAATAGTGAGTGTGAGCAAATTCAAGAGGTTTGAGTGAGAGACCGCTTGTTGTTTTCGAAGTCGAGAAAATCACTGAAAATGTCTAAGAAGAATTGACACTACCCTCGTGAGTTGGTTTAAGCAAATGAGAACATCTTTAGCTATCAATGGATCATGTCCAAAAGATAAGGCACTACGTATTGCAGCAAGTTCAGAACTTCATGGTGTTCAACGGCTGGATAGATCACTTCAAAAGGAGTCAAAATCGAACTTGCCAAACTGCCTCTGGAGAATGTATGTGTGAATCCAGCCACCCTTTTGGACTGGATACAGCAGATTCATCAGCTAACTGAGGGCTATTAAAAATATGTTTGTAATGCAGATGAAAATTGGATGTTCAATTTCAATCCAACAAAACTTTGGCTTTTAAAGGAGACCCAGCTGTAGAGGCACTGAATCAAAACAAAGAATGACTGTGCTGACAGAAGAAAAAAATTGCCTCCTTTATCGGTAAATTTCAGAACCCCCAATGTTTTAAAAACATTAAAACTATTCCAACAAAATATGGGGCAAACTAACAAGCCTAGATGACTGAAAGAATTTTTGAAGACTTTCTTTGGCAAATAGGTGGGAAGAAGGACCCAAGAATCACAAAATTGTCTTCATTAATCAGTGTGCTGCCCTTCGTAAAGAAACTATTGGGCTTTGAAATATAAGTTATATTTTTGCCACGTAACTACTAGTCAACTACAGCCACCAGACATGGGCATCATCTGTTCATTTAAGTGCGATTGTAAGAAGCAGTTAGTAAGTAAAGCTGTAGCAATAATAGATGGAGGGATGCTTGAAGATGCTTCAAAATTTAAATTAAACATCCTTCAAGCATTGCATTTTGTCACTAAAGCATGGAGACAAATATCTCCCAAATCAAAACAGAATTGTTTAAAAAAATCTGGGTTTCAAAGTAAAGATGAAATGGAAAACATTGGTGTTCTAACAATTTTAACAGCATAGGGAAAGCAAGACTGGCATTGAAGGAAAGTGACTGACAATGGACGATGATTTAACAACTTATGTGGGTCAGTTTGTTGATCAGATACTAGAAGATCAAGTATCTAATGTTAAAGGGAAGAAAATGTCTGAAGTTACTGAGGAAGACCAGGAGGAAAAGGTTACCTTCTTGCAAGCTCTTGTAGGATTTGACACTACTTGAAAATATTTTTAGCAATTTAATGTAGATGTACTTTGAAATATCTCTACATTGAAAAACAGCTCGAAAACAAAAAGCGAATGTCGATTTTAGACTGGGTGAAGTGATTGTGTGCAGTTTAAAATATATTTTTTTATCAAAGGGTTCTTCGATTTTACACTCTTGACCAGTCCCTAGAGTGGCGCAAAATTGGGTTTTCAGTGTGCATACCATTACACTTTCGTAAATTCTAAATTCCAAGTGCGCCAAGTTAGATATAGGTATCAATAGTTGTTAAGCTCAAAAAATAATCAACAAACAAAAGAACAGAATCTGATTTTTCTTGTGTATAGTAGAGTAATTTACCGTGTATGTAGGGGTGATATTCATGTACAATTTTTCGAAAATTAGTTTCTACTTTTTGCATGAAATATAGGCAGTTTTTAAATTTGTTCAAACAATTTCTTCCTCAAAGCGGCACCATCAATTTTGACCTGGGATAGAACGTTTAAGAGAATGGTGCAGGTGTCATGTTCGTCAAATTCCTGATTTTTCGAATAAAAAACAAACAAACATTTGGCATCTACATCTACAATAATAAGAGACATTTTAAATGAAATGTGTTCATCAAAAACATCTTTAAATAAAATCATGTTGAATTTTTCGAAAACATGATTTTTTATTTTTGTGAAATATGGTGACATACTCGCCCGCTTCGTGAACGTAAAATGAATTGTGATACCGGGCAGTTGGAGACTACATAAGTTAGAAATTGAATATTCACATTTCTTTGTTCGTTTCTTACATTCGAGTTTTTTTTATACGTTTACGAATTAATATTTAAGAAATAATTTAAAATCCATTCGATAATCCGTATTAGTTTTCTTTTTGAAGCTAGAAAGTGAAGTTTGCACCGTTTGGAGCAATTTTTGAATAAAAGCAAGACGAACGCACATGTTATCAAGCAACTGAGGTGTGATGGAGGAAAAGAATTTGACAAGGTCTCTAGACTGCTAGCGGTAGGAGGCATAGAACACTGCATTACTGCGCTGTGTACACCACAACTAAATGGTGTTACGGAGCGTGAAAATCGAAAATCGTCAAGTGCGCGCGTTCCATATTGTATCATAGCAAGTTTCCAAAAGAACTGTGAGCAGAAGCATGCTATACTGCCACATATCTCCTGAATCGCAAGGGAAAGTCTTCCATTTAAAATTGGACTCATGAATTGTGGCATAGACGACCAGTTCTCAATCATTTGAAGACTTGGAACAAAGCTACGTGAACATCACTAACTTCCGTTCTAAGTATGACAATGAAACTGTTCATGGACATCTGGTTCGAAACGTGAACGATAGGGATGGGTTCAGGGTCTGGATTCCGACTCGAAATAAGATAGTCCTGAGCGACGATGTGTGATTCAAGCCTGAAGTTTTCTTCAATGTGCGTATCGATACCGACAAGTTTGAAGATTCATGTGAAAAACTCGCTTCATCTGATGTACAAGAGCCAGAAGACGTCAACGACGATGAAAAGGAAGAAGAATGTAGTGAAGAGGAGGTTGCAGCTCCGGAAGAAGTGAAGTTTCAGACGAAGATGCCAAAGAAGAGACAACAAGAAAAAGCAAACGTTAATCGAAGAAACTATTGTGGATGACCAGCGGAGATTTTGTCTAGGAAAATGATATCTGGGTGTAGGTCGAACGTCAAAAAATGTACAAATCTTGAAGAATCGCTGGGTCTTCTGGCAGAAACTCTGGGGCAGTGAACAAAAATCTGCTTCAAGGCTCGATTGGTTGCAAAGACAAGGAATTAATTATGAAGAGACATTCAGTTCTGTTGCCCGCTATGAAACCACTCATTGGCGGTGGCTGCTGAAGTTTGAACGAAGCTCGTTCAATTTGATGTCATAACCGCATTTTTGAACGGCGTGCTTGAAGTCGTGTATATGGAACAATCAGAGTTTTGAATACTGAACGAGTGTGTTACGTTAACAAAGTTTGTATGGCCAGAAACAAGCGCCGCGCTGCTGGAATAAACTATTTGAGAAATTTATGAAGTTGGATCCAAAAACAGTATTGCATATCCATATCTGTTCTACTGCAAGAGAGATAGGAAACATGTATGTTGTAATTTTTGTGGTTGACGGTGTGGTTATTACAACTGAAATAGAAGAATCTAGGAATTCATGGAAATGTTATATCAGGAATTTCATTCGACGAGAGGATCTCTCAGAAACTTTTTAGGCGTGAGAATACAGCAAAATAAAAGTTGGATCAATAGCAATTGATCAAGAACCCAAAAAGTTTTGGAGATTTGAAAAACCACGAAACGTTTTGGAAATATTTGGAATGGCTGAGCCAAACGGAGTGACTACTTTTGGGCGCGAGGACAACGATGAAGAAAGGCCACAGCGTTCCTTATAGTGAGGAGTCGGTTGGTTCCTCAATGTACCTGTCTAAAGCTTCACGTCCTGACAGGGCCGGATTTAAGTAGTGCGGGGCCCCAAGCACAAAATTGTGTTGGGCCCCTCCCCCCCGAAAAAATAGCTCCATCTTTATTAAATAAAAAATGTATTATAGTACAAATACTTTCTGTACCGATACAAATGAAAACTGATAATTTTTACTTGTGTTACATTTTTTACATTAAATACATTTTACATAATTTTTTTTCTGCTCTTCACTGCAGAAAATTGGTCGATGTCGTCTTCAAAATGAAGATTTCTCATCTTATCATGCTCCATACTCATTTTTTAAAAATGTTTTGAAATTGTACATTTTGTTACAGAATAGACTACTTGATTAACAATTATTTCGCAGACAAAAAATATGGTATGCGTATTTTTCCGAAACGCGGGGCCCCTGGTGAATGGGGGCCCCCAAGCAACTGCTTGTTTTGCTTGTAGGTAAATCCGGCCCTGCGTCCTGAAGTTGCTTTCGCAGTTAATAAAGCAGCATGGAAAATCCTATAATTCAAGATTGGAATCACGAGAAACGAATATTCGATATTTGAAGAGGACCGTAAACTATACAATCTTCTTCAAGAAGGGACAAAGTTTGATGGTCTACACCGGTGACTGTAGACCAGCCTGAGTGTCTTGTCGCCGAGAGCTGTGGGCGCAGCGTTCGAGGCAGTCCGAGGGGAATACCAACATTCTGTCATCGTCTGTCTAGTTTCAACTTAATTTTATGAATTTCTTGAATTATTATTGAAAGTAAACATGTTCAGTAAATTATTGATGGTATTCAATGCAAGGTTTATGATATTTGGAGAATTTGTTTTTATTTGATATTAGGTTTGTTGATTCAAAACGTATATTTGATGAGTTCTTAGTGTAAAGTTGGCCGTTCTGGATGGAAGTCCCTTAGTGTCTAGCGGAAGCCAGTCTGCCAGCAACAGACGGGCAGCAGTTTTCGAGCGTTCTTGTGAACACGAATGTGTGTAAATCTTTCAGTAATGCAATATGCAGGATGCCCCATTAACTATGGGTCACCCCCATAACTTCTAAAAGGTTCACAATATTGAAATGCATTTTTTGCTGAACAATGTGGAAGCTTGGAACAAGCAACATTCCGTAGAAAAAGTATGTTATAATATTTTGTTATTGAGAAATTTAATGTTTGATTTTTTAAATGAATGTATCGATTTTTCACCAGCAATGGTT